CAACCTCTCTCGCCACTGCTGCTACTGACGTGACCGCAGCTACTGTTACGACTTCTTCGCGGTCTCGAGGTAGAAGTGGCAAGAGGGGCGGTCAGGGTATGGGTGGCGGCAGCGGTGGAGTCGTTGGCGGCGAAGGTGGTCGGGGTGGCGTGCCGACTGGTGGGGGCGGGAGTGCAGGGCCAGGAGAGGCGTCTCGTGCAGCGGCCGGTGACTCCGCTACTGCAGCTGGTGGAGGCGATGCCCGGGCTCGTCAGCTACCTTCTAGTCTGCCGGCCGCGGCAGGTGGAGCAGCGGCGTGGTACCTGGCCCAGCGGAAGCAGCAGTAGCAGCAGCCCCTCCCCTTGCAGCAGCCCCCGCAGCAGCAGCGGCAGCAGCAGGTTTCTGTGGCTCTGGCTGATCCCACCACGGGACCAGTCACTGCTCGCTACACTACTACTCTTCCGTGCCCTGCTGTTCCCTCTGGGTCTCTGACTGGCTTCCACGTCCCCTCGTTCTCGCGGAACTTGGTGGGCGTGAGGCCTCTTGTGAGTCAGCACGTGGGTGTGCGGATTGAGCCCTCTGGTGAGACGGCGGTTTGTGTTGACGGAGACACTTACACGCCTCTTGCCACCTTTATAGCTGAGCTGGGCTCTGGTCTCTACACACTTCACACTACCTCTGGTGGGCAGCAGCAGTAGCAGCCGCATCAGCCGCAGTAGCAGCGACTACTGCCCCCGGCCCCTGTTCCTTCCCCCAGTCTGGTCCCTGCGTCTCACCAGGTTGCTGCGTCCCCCCTGGTCAGGTTCCCGTGTCTTGTCCAGTTGCTGCGTCGTGCTCCTACCGGTCACTTGCCCACCCCATCGTTCTGTGGCACCACCGGATGGGGCACCCGTCTCTCCCTCGTCTGCGCACTATGTCTCGTCAGCATCTTGTCTTAGGCCCCCCACGTGTCTTGCCGTCGCTGCCGCCTTCGCTTGCACCACCGTGCGGTCCCTGCGTCGAGGGTAGGCTGCGCGCCACCCCTCACTCCTCCCTTCATCCAGCCACCGAGCCTTTTGAGACGCTCTGCTTGGACGTCTGGGGCCCCGCCTCTCGCCTTGGCCCTGAGCATGAGCGTTTCTTTCTGGTGGTCGTTGACGACTACTCCCGCTACACCACAGTGTTCCCCCTTGCGAAGAAGTCTGAGGTGACTTCTACGCTGATCAGGTGGTTGCTTACCACTGAGGGCACTTGTGGTCGTCGAGTCAGGTGTCTTCACTCCGACCGTGGAGGTGAGTTTCGCTCTGGCATTCTCGCTGGATTCTGTCGCGAGCAGGGCATTCGTCAGTCCTGGACGCTTCCAGAGTCCCCACAGCATAATGGGGTTGCTGAGCGCCGCATAGCCTTGGTCATGGAGATCGCCCGCACCTCCTTGACTCACGCCCGTACCCCCCATTTTCTGTGGCCCTACGCAGTTAGGTAAGCCGCTCACCAGCTGAACCTCTGGCCACGTGTCTCTCGGCCAGAGGTTTCACCGACTAGTCTTTGGACCGGGTCCCCTGGTGTTGCGTCGCGGTTTCGTGTCTGGGGTTGCTTGGCTCTTGTTCGCGACACCTCCGCGGACAAGATCTCGCCTCGCGCCGTTCCTTGTGTCTTCCTTGGTTTCCCAGAGGACTCCTCTGACTTCACCTTTTACCACCCTCCCCTTCACCGGTTCTTTGACTCCCGGGACGTCAGTTTCGACGAGTCCGTCCCCTACTACGTCAGGTACCCATGCCGAGGTCTCCCGGTTCCTCCTCCCCCTCTCTTCCTGACTTCCGCTCCCCCTCCTGCTCCCCCGGTACAGCCTCCCCCCCCTGGTCCAGCCCCGTCAGGTGTGTCCCAGACTACCCCTCCCCCCTCGGTAGCCCCTCAGGTACAGCCTTCTTCCCCGCAGTCCTCCTCGCAGCCTGCGGCAGACCCTGCGGGAACCGGTGTTCGTGGCGAGGACCCTGTCGGTGCTAGCTCTGGGGGTGCTGGAGTTGGGGCTGAGCCCGAGGCTACAGGAGACTCTCGTCTTCCGAGAGCTGGTGTAGGTGGTGCTGACTCTGGGGGTGCTACGTCTTGGGGTGCGGGTGCGCCCCCTTCGGGTCCTTGTGAGCCGGGCCGTGTTGCTGTTGGTGGTACTGCCTCTGGGGGTGGTGCGCCGGGTGCTTTGGAGGGTGGTCATGGGGCTGCCGCAGCCCTGGACACTACTCCTCCCCCCCACCCCTATCCGACCTGGCACCAGGCTCGTGTTCGCCGTGCTTGTGAGGAGCAGCTGGAGTTAGAGAGAGAGGAGAGAGAGTTGCAGCGGCTGGAGGTGGAGCAGCGGCAACAGCAGTGGCTGGAGGAGCAGCAGCAGCACCAGCAGCAGCCGTGGGAGCAGCAGCAGCAGTCGCAGCTATTGCAGCCGCACCAGGAGCAGCAGGCGCAGCCACCTCCTCCTCCTGTCTCTGGTCTTCGGACCCTCGGTCTCCCCTCTCCCTCTCCTTCCTCCTCCCCCTCTCCTCCTATCTATGGTCCCACATTTCCTCCTCCTGACTCCTCCCCAGCTGTTCTCCCTCGTTCTTCGACTCAGTTGTCTCCCCCTCCTTTGCCCGCCTGGCCCTGTCGTCGCTCTCCTCATGCTCGTCCCTCGTCCCCTGTCGCTCTCACTGACCTTCGTACTGTCCTGTTCCGTCCTATTCCGCCTCATTCGTCTCAGTCTGTGCTTCCTTCTCCTCCTGAGTCGGCCTTCACTGCTTCCCTCTCTACTCCTGTCTCTGACTACTACCGCACGTACCGTCCTGTTCTCTCTCGTGGTCTCGCCTCTCTTGTTACGGACCCTCGTGCCTCTTTGTCCTCTGTCTCCGCCCTTACTGTCGCCGTCACTGAGCTCGCCACTACTCGCCGCCTTGACTACGCCACTTGTCTCGTGGCTGCTCCTCCTACCAGTCCTCTGGCCGTCGGGGGTGAGTCTGCCCTTGGTTGTGACGCCTTAGAGGACAGGCAGTTTGAGCTAGAGTTCGTGGCAGCCGCTTCCCCTCATCTCTATGCCATGCTGATCTCCCCTGAGGGAGACCCCGACGCCCTTGATATACCGACTCCTCGCACTTACGCTGAGGCAGTATTAGGGCCTTGGGCCTCTCAGTGGAGAGCTGCCATGGATGCAGAGATGGCCTCCTACAGATCCACAGGCACCTATGTTGACGAGGTTCCCCTCCCTAGGGCGAACGTAGTCGATGGCATGTGGATCTACAGGGTGAAGCGGCCACCGGGATCTCCTCCGGTCTTCAAGGCGCGCTATGTGGCTAGAGGTTTTAGTCAACGCGAGGGAGTTGACTTCTTTCAGACCTTCGCGCCTACCCCAAAAATGACCACTCTCCGGGTGTTACTGCACGTAGCAGCACAGAGAGACTACGAGTTACACTCTCTCGACTTCTCCACTGCTTTCCTTCAGGGTAGCCTTCACGAGGAGGTCTGGCTGCGTCGTCCCTCTGCCTTCACTGGCACTTTCCCTCCTGGGACCCAGTGGAGGCTGAGGCGACCTGTCTACGGTCTCCGTTAGGCTCCTCGTGAGTGGCACGACACCCTTCGTTCTACCCTCTCTGACCTTGGTTTCCAGCCGTCTTTTGTCGACCTGTCGCTGTTCGTTTGTCGTGGCTCCACACCTTTCTTTGTTCTGGTCTACGTCGACGACCTGGTTTTCGCCACTGCTGATAGGGTTGCCTTGGCAGACGTGAAGTCCGAACTGCATAAGAGAAACACGTGCACTGACCTTGGTGAGCTGTGCCACTACCTTGGCCTGCAGATCACCAGGGACAAAGCTGCTCGCACCATTACACGCTCACAGTCACACATGGTGCAGCAGGTTCTTCAGCGATTCAAGCTTCAGCACTCCACAGTACAGTGCACACCCCTTGCTGTTGACCATAGACTTACTGGACCCTTTCCTGATGAGCCGTTTGAGTCTAGTGGTCCCTATGCAGAGCTGGTGGGCTGCCTCATTTACCTGATGACTTGTACTCGCCCGGATCTCGCCTTCCCTCTCAGCATCCTTGCTCGGTTTGTTGCGCCAGGGAGACATCGTCCTGTTCACTGGATGGCAGCTGTGAGGGTGGTGAAGTACCTAGCGATGACATCATGCGTGGGGCTAGTTCTTGGAGGGCAGCAGTCTGTCGTATTTACTAATCACTGTGACTCTTCTTACGCTGACGACGCTGAGACTCACAGATCTACTCAGGGGTACTGTTCCAGCTTGGGTTCTGGAGCTGTTTTGTGGAGGTCCACGCGCTCCTCTTCGGTCTCGACCTCTACTGCTGAGGCTGAGATCTACGCTGGTGCCATGGCGGCACAGGAGCTGTGCTGGTTGACCTTCTTGCTCGCCGACCTCGGTGAGCGGCCGAGCTCTGCACCGACCTTGTTCCCAGACAACAAGGCGTCGATTCTCCTCTGTTAAGAGTCGCGACTGGAGAGCAGAGTGAAGCACATTAACGCCAGGTACTTTCTTCTGCGTGACTTGCAGAGACGTGGACAGACTCGCTTCGAGTTTGTCGAGTCCGAGGCCAACACTGCAGACAACTTCACCAAGGCGCTTCCGCCTTGTGACCACCAGAGGTGTTGTGTGCAGTTAGGTGTTGACACAGGTTCTAGTCGTGTGTAGGCTTGAGTTTACCGTTTGCTTTGCTTGTACTCTTGCCATATACCTTTGTGAACTCTTGAACTGGCCTTGTGGCCCCTATTGCTTGTGCTCAGATTGTGTGGTGACATTGTGATCCACCATGAGCTTTGTTTCTTTGTGACTAGTCTTGTGACCGTACACTTTTGGTTTTGCTTGACACCCCTCACTTAGGCTATGGGGGTGTGTCAAATGTTGTAGCTTGTAGTGAGGTTTGTCTTAGGGGGTACAAATGTTAGGGTTTGCTATATGTACCCCGACCCTCATCAATAACACAACACTTTCATTCTTAACACATAGCCCCTCTATTCACAACCGCTCTCCACCGTTGCCCGTCTGCATTCACAATCAGTTCCCACTACCCCTAGGGGCACAGGGCACTCCCCTTGATCTCCCATCTCACCCTTCCTTCCCTTGCCTTGGCCACCCTCTTCACAACTCTCCCTGTGCCCAGCACTGTGCATACGCCTGTCTGTGCAACTAACCTCGCGATTCATCCTGCCACCCTCCTCACAACTCCCTTTACCAACCCCCTTGCCACTGCCATCACATCCATTCGCCTTGCCAATTTTATAGCAGCAATCCCTTCCCCCATCCTCCTCATCCTTCTTCCCTCTGGTCTTGCCGAGGCATGTGAGCTTGTGGGAGGGCCAGTACACCTTTTTGGCACTCTCTGCTGCAATACGCCACCTTGCCACACCCTGAGCAGTTCTTCAGCCTCACACCACCACCCTCCACCGTCGCACACCCCGCAGCACCACATACACGCCCCCCACTAGCAGCAGGATCAGAGACAAGTGTGACAACAGCATCGCCCACATGGCCTTCTACCCCTAGACCAGCAGCAGCACAGATGCTCATTGCAGCAAGAGTGGGAGAGGCAGCAGGAGTGGGAGAGGCAGCAGGGGTGGGAGAGGCAGTAGGGGTGGGAGAGGCAGCAGGGGTGGGAGAGGCAGCAGGGGTGGGAGAGGCAGCAGGGGTGGGAGAGGCAGCAAGGGTGGGAGAGGCAGCAGGGGTGGGAGAGGCAGCAGGGGTGGGAGAGGCAGTAGGAGTGGGAGAGGCAGCAGGAGCAAGAGTGAAAGAGGCAGTAGGAGTGGGAGAGGCAGCAGGAGCAGGAGTGAAAGAGGCAATAGGAGTGGGAGAGGGACCAGGAGCAGGAGTGAAAGAGGCAATAGGAGTGGGAGAGGGAGCAGCACAAGAAGACATAGCAGCAGCAGTATACGTGAAACAAGCAGCAGAGGTGGAAGGGGCAGGAGGTGTGGGAGGAGCAGCGCGGGAGGCAGGGATGGGACGAGCAGCAGGGGTGGGGAGAGGCAGCGGGATGGGAAGCCATAGTAGCAGCAGGAGGGGCGGAAAGCTCAGCAGGGGAGGCAGGGCAGCAGCATCTCTCGCAGACATGCCACCAGATTGACTCCCCCCGGCCATGCCTCCAGAGAAGCCGCCTCCTCCCCCTTCTTGCCCTTGCGCTTGCTAAAGCTGCAGCTGCTACTGCTGCTGCTGCTGCCAGTGCTGCTGCTGCTACTGCCAGTGCTGCTGCTGTTGCTGCTGCTGCCAGTGCTGCTGCTGCTGATGTTGCCAACACTGTTGCTGCTGCTGCTACCAATAGTAGACTCACGCTGCCCCTGCAACCCCTCACAATACCTTGGGGTGATAGCTGCCCAACTGAATGCAAGCCAATTGATGTTGCAATCCTCATCCGTCCTCGCCCGCTTCCCCATATTTCTGCACTCCTCGCTCTCTCCCTCGTCGCCCACATTGAACCTCCACACAGCCTTTGTTGCGGAATACCACATCCGCACCTCCTCCCACACCTCTCTGTGAAAGTTGGAATTGGAACCAATACTTTCTTTAGGGTGGGAACTAGCATACATAGAAGCAAGGGAAGCTTGGAAGGGAAGGGTGGAGTTGACCATAGGTTGGGTTGGCCAACCTAGGTGGGGAAGTCACGTGGCCTTGGGCCCACTTGAGTTGGGTTGGCCTCACTAATAGAAAGTGAGGCAACCTCAAGTTAAGGGGGTTGCATTTGGGGGCTCCACCACAATTGGGTGGATTGGCACTCCACAATGCAAGACTACACCCAATGTTGGGTGTAGTCCCAACCCAACTGTACACCACAATTGGTGTACAGTCACAAGTGTTGGCATGCTACAATATATATATTCTAACACTCTCCACCGTTCTCTTGGTCCTCCTCACCGTCCTAGTGGTCTTGCACCTCCACCCTGTCAGCATTCCCCCCTTTCTTCTCATCTTCCTCGCTCGCACCTGACCCCACGCCCTGCCCTTTCCCAATGTCATCATAGCCCATGAACTCACAGCGGTCCAGAAGAGGCTGGGCGCACCAGAGTGCCATGTGCAGGAGGAAGTAGAGGGGCACCTGCTCCGCGCGTGTGAGCAGCATGTGCAGGTTCAAGGGGCGCGGCACGCAAGCAGGGAGGTCTAGGCAGTCCACCAGCTCGCCCCGCCCAGGGGAGCATGGCGGGAACACGAAGAGCACGCGCCACAACAGGTGGCTCACGGGGCGGTAGGCAAAGTTGGCGATGAGAGCAATGGTTCACGCGTATTGCATGAATTCAGCGGAGCAGGCCTTGCAGTGCGCACATGCAGGAACCTGCACCAGGAACTCCGCATCTACCTGGCAGCGAACGATGGGAAGCTTCCTTCTGGGGGGCGGCAGTGCTACTCTCACATCATTTCTTTTAGCTGCTTCAACAATCCCACGCGCTCTGCCCAACACGACTTCCACCCCAGCTCCTTTCCCTACTGCCTTACACGCTTTCCTCCTTGCACTTGTGCTGCTCAATCCTGCTTCAGCTACCCCACACGCTCTGCGCTGTTCAGCTTCCTGCCTGGCTCCTTCTTTCTTTACACGCCTGCAGCTCCCTCGTGCTTCAGACGTGTGCTGAGGAGGGTGCTGGGTTAAGTTCTCAGCTTCATCACCACGCTCCTCCGCAATCCCAAGCCCAAAACACCTCTCCTTTCGGTTCACATGAAACTTCACAGCAGCTTCGTTGCCCCCAGGCCATTCCTCCCACTCCAACGGATCGTTGCTTCCCTCCACAGGCTTGGGGATGGCGCCAAACCTGACCAGAAGGCTTGGAAGGTTCCGAAGCGGGTGGCGCATGGGCAGGACATTGCTCTGAGAGCCTTGCTCAATGAAGCAATGCTTCTCCGACGTGGAATCTGAGCCGTAGACTCGGAGCCACTGCAACATGCAAGCAACCCGATAGATGAATGCAGCGAGCACAGTGTTGGTATTGACAGGCTTGGCCCCATTGACAGGCATAAGTTGAGCATTCATATCAGCGCTTGCAGTAGCAGTAGCAGGCGGAGCTCTTTCAACACCTGCTCCTGCTACTCCATCCATCCCTCTTCTCTGCTTCAAGCGCTGCTGCAGCAGCCTCTTCTCGGCCACCTGAATGGCTGCATTCTCAACCTGCATCTTGCTCGTAGTGTTGCCATCATGCAAGAACATCTCTGCATCCTTCCAGTGCTCTGGTTTCGATAATACTGTACCCACAGCAAGTGCGAAATCGTTCGCATTGACACCACTCACATGCATACTCTTTGAATCACTGCTGCTCTTACTGCTGCTGCCAGAACTGCTGACGCTACTACTGCTGCTACTGCTGCTTTTGCTGCCGAGGGCACCGCCGCCACAGCCACCACTTCTGCTGCTGTTGCTGCCGCCACCCTCACTGCAGTGGCTGCTCCTGAAAGCTTTCCCTTCCCCCCCTTCATGCTTCAAAATACAAGCCATGCCATCCACATACCTCTCCCACACACGCCCCTTCAGGTGCTCCCTCCAACTCCAGTCCTTCCTAACCCTCCTGCACTTGCTACCAACTGTATTCATACCTTCCTCCCTGCTTCATTCACTCCGTGACTCTCCTCCCCTTGCACCTCCTCAGCCGCCTCCCCTCCGGCTCCCCCCTTCCCATCCGCATGCACCTCCTCCAGCCCACCTGACAGCACATGCTGCACAAATAACCCAAACCCTTCCTTCAACTCAGCGCGCTCCTTCACCCCCAGCACCTGCAGCCTTCCAGAGAGTTATAAGGCGAGGCGACCTCGCCACCAGCACAAGGAACGTCGAGAAGCTGACAGCACGGCGGTAGGCACCCCAGCAACTGCTGCAGCACCAGCAGCAGGACCACGCTGCATCAGCAGCAGGGGCAGGAGGAGCAGTAGGAGCAGCAGGAGAAAGAGAAGAGGAAGCAGCAGCAGGAGCAGCAACATTGGGCCACAAAATATCAGGCAAGTGGGATCTGACCCTCCCCAGGTCAATGATCACGCCCACACGCGGCTCAGGCATCCACTCGAGCAGCATGGCTTCCGCAGAGAGGCGAGGCGCCCTCCCTGGCTGTGGAGTCGTCCCTTTGGAGGACTCAAAAGCGGCCCGGTTGTGCTGCTACTGCTCCAGGGTGGCTGGGGGGATGGAACGAGGTTGCTGCTTGCGCAGGTGGCAACGCAAGTCCTCCAGGTTCTTCATGGCAAGTGCTCGTTGTGCTCGCTGGCTCAAAGCACGGTCAAAGCAGCACGCGCACAGGTCCTCATCCCACCAACTCGTCATGTCCAAGTAATGAACCATGTCCGCATGAGATAGCAGCTGTAGCACTTCTGGACTTTCCTCCGCTCTTGCTTTCTCTACGCCTCCTCCGATTTCCGTATCAAGTTGATCTGCCTCACTCTCACCAATTTGGACTGCAGAACGGATTTCCCTCTGCAGCATTTCAATAGTATTCGTCCGCTTGTCCAGCTTCTGAAAGGACTATAGCAAGCGTGTCGTTCGCTCAGCGTCTCCCGCTTGCTCTGCTGCCTCTCCGTTGGCCCCATCAAGCTGTCTCAGTCCACTCAACTCCTTCTGAAGTGCTTGCCGCATCGCACCAACACCCTGTAACTGCTCTTCCAACTCCCCAACGGACTGCACCAAGCGTTTCACACTCACCATGATTTCCTCTTCTTCATCTTCCTTTTCCTTGCTGTTGCCAGCATCAGAGTCGAGGCACTTCAACCCTGTTCCGCCCACCCGTCGTGAAGCTCCTGTATTGGGCTTGTTGTCAGAACATTATAGCTTATGCTTTTGTGTAGGCTGTAGTGGGGTATCCCATAGGGGGTACAACCCAATTAGGATTACTACTTGTACCCACTTCATTCATAGTTCATTCATTCTCGTTTCAGTTTTCTCATGGTATCAGAGCAAATATATCTACCCTCTGCCTAAGCAACTCCACCCAGTCGGGTAGCTCAGCCTCGTCGCCAAACTCGGTACGCCAGGCGTGGCTCAGACGGGCGAAGCAGCGGGACTGTGTGTGACTAGGCGTCCCACAAGGCTGACCAGTCCGAGCACCAGTGCGAATCACGTAAGAGCAGCGAACAGAACTGAGAGACCCTCCACTCTGAGCGTACCACTCACGAAGCTGCTGGGGCGTGAGAGACGCGCGTGGGGGTCGCTGGAGCTGCATCTAGCCGCCGCCAGTAGTAGTAGCAGTAGTAGCGCCGCCACCCCTACAACCCCAACCACCGTACCACTCACGCAGCTGCTGGGGCGTGAGGGACTCACGCAGACGTCGCTGGGGCTGCATCTGGCTCCGCCAGTAGAAGCAGGAGCAGGAGTAGCAGCAGTAAGGCAGGCAGCCAAGCAAGCGGCAGGCAGCCCGCTAGTAAGGCAGGGGCTCACAAGTGGTGGGAAGAGCAGGCTCGACGACTCGGCGACTCGGCGGCAGTGCGGCTCGGGCGGCTCGGTGGCACGGCGGCACTGCAGCAACTGCGGCTCGGCGGCTCGGGCGACTCGGGCGACTCAGCGATACGGCGGCTCGGCAGCAACTTCAGCGCGGCGGCTCGGCGACTCGGCGGCTCGGGCGGCTGAGGTGGCGCTGCGGTTCGGGCAACTCGGGTGGCTCGGGTGGCTCGGCACTAGCTCGGCGGCGCCGGCGGCTCGGTGGTGACGGCGAGGCCGCTTGGGGACGGCGGCAAGGCCGGGTGGAGCGGCGACGGGGCCAGCAGAGGTGGCGCCGGGGCGGCAGGGTAGGCGTCCGGGCCAGCAGAGGTGGCGCCGGGGCCAGCAGAGGTGGCGCCGGGGCCGGGAAGGGCAGCGCCATGGCCACAGGGGTAGGCGACGGGGTTAGTAGAGGCAGGGCCGGGTCGGGAAGAGCGGCGTTGGGGTCGCCGGGGTAGGCGACGGGGCCAGCCGAGGTGGCGCCGGGGCCTGGAAGGGCGGAGCCGGGGCCGCAGAGGCAGGCGACGGGGCCAGCGGAGGCGGGGCCGGGTCGGGAAGGGCGGCGTCGGGGTCGCCGGGGTAGGCGACGGGGCCAGCCGAGGTGGCGCCGGGGCCGGGAAGGGCGGAGCCGGGGCCGGGAAGGGCGGCGCTGAGGCCGCAGAGGTAGGTGACGAGGCAACTAGGGCGGCAGATCGGGGCCGCGAGGGCGGCGCAACGCGGCCGCTAGGGCGGCGCGACGGGGTAGCGGGGCCGCGCGCCTTGGGGCGCGCGCCAGAAAGAAAATCGCCGCGCGCGTGCGACAGATCGAGTAGCAGCGGAAGCAGTAGTAGGGCCCTAGGAACAGTTCCCACGAAGGAACCTGCTCGATACCATGAGAAAACTGAAACGAGAATGAATGAACTATGAATGAAGTGGGTACAAGTACTAACCCTAATTGGGTTGTACCCCCTATGGGATACCCCACTACAGCCTACACAAAAGCATAAGCTATAATGACTATGATTCTATTCTCACTGTCATGTATGCATTGCCTACTAGTGCTGACCGTGCCGGTCACCTGTGCATACCGCCTGACCCGGGTATCGAGCCTGCTGCTCTAGCTGCTGGTGAGGCTGCTGCTCTGGGTGCTAGTGTGTCTCCTGCTCCAGGTACAGGTGCGGCTGCTGCTCTAGGTGCTAGTGAGTCTGCTTCCTCAGATGCGGGTGAGTCTGCCCTCTCAGGTACCGCGTCGGCTCCGGCCTCTCACACCTTCACCCTTGACTCGGGGGCTTCCCGCTCCTTCTTTCGAGACCGCACCACACTCACGCCGCTTGGTCGGCCAGTTGCAGTCTCTTTGGCAGACCCCTCTGGGGGCCCTGTCCTTGCTCACTTCTCCACTGTCCTCCCGTGTCCGGCGGCCCCCTCTGGCACCCTGTCTGGTCTTTACCTCTCCTCGTTCTCTACGAACTTGGTGAGTGGTGCTGACCTGCAGGATGCGGGGGTTCACCAGTTCACTCCTGCGAGTCAGCGGGTGACCCACTGCACGAACGCTCGGACAGGCCGACGCCTGGCCACGTTTACTCGTCGGCCGGGGTCGAGCCTGTACACACTTACCACTGCGTCTCCTCCAGTCCGTGCGTCTGGTCAGGTAGCTGCATCGGGTCAGGTGTTTGCTGCAGCGTCCAGGTCTGGTCCTGGGTCTGCCCCCTGCTCGTGTCGCCTCCTGTCTCACGAGACTCTCCCCTGGCACCACCGCCTTGGTCACCCCTCCCTGCTTCGTCTCCGAAGCATGGCCTCCCGTGTCCTTGTCTCTGGTCTTCCCCGGTCCCTCCCTCCCCTTCCTCCGGGGCCTGGCCCTACCTGCGTCCCCTGTGTCGAGGGGCGGTAGCGGTCTGCCCCTCACTCCTCCCAGTTTCCTCCGACAGAGGCCCCGCTGCAGACACTTCACATGGACGTGTGGGGCCCGGCCCGCGTCCGTGGACACGGTCACGAGCGCTACTTCCTACTGGTGGTTGACGACTACTCGCGTTACATCACAGTCTTCCCCTTGCGCAGCAAGGGTGATGTCACTGAGGTGTTGATCGACTGGATCCGCGCAGCTCGTCTCCAGCTCAGGCGGAGCTTCGGCTCGGACTTTCCTGTTCTGCGTCTGCACTCGGACAGAGGCGGAGAGTTCTCCTCTGGCCTTCTGCGAGCCTACTGTCGTGCACGAGGCATCCGCCAGACCTTCACGCTTCCGGACTCTCCACAGCAAAATGGGATTGCTGAGCGCCGCATTGGCATGGTCATGGACGTCGCCCGTACGTCCATGATGCATGCGGCTGCCCCCCATTTTGTGTGGCCGTTTGCGGTCCGGTACGCGGCGCATCAGATCAACCTTCAGCCCAGGGTCTCCATGCCGGAGACCTTCCCAGCCTTGCTATGGACGGGGAAGGTTGGCGATGCGTTTGCGTTCCGTGTCTGGGGATCTCGGGCGTTTGTTCGCGACTTGTCTGCGGACAAGCTGTCCCCTCGTGCTGCTCCTTGCGTCTTCCTGGGTTTCCCCCCTGACGCGCCAGGGTGGGAGTTCTACCACCCCACCTCTCGCCGTGTTCTGTCCTCCCAGGACGTCACGTTCGACGAGTCGGTCCCCTACTACCGTCTCTTCCCCTACCGCACTCCGTCCCTCCCCCCGCCACCGCTCTTCCTTGTGCCAGGTCCCCCCCTGGTAGACCCCCTCCCCCCACAGGGTCCTGCCCCTTCAG